TGATAACAGCTGATGGACGAACGGTCAGGTGATGATGTCATCAGATTTATTACAAAGAGATGAACAACCAGACTCGCAGAGAGTCGACTCATCACAGGTGCAGAACTTCTGATGTCCTGAGTTTCTGACCTGTTCTGCTTCCTGGAATAAAAAAAGTTGATTTGATCAAAACCAGTAAGGGGACCAGTAGAATATATTTTATTGTCCCTTTGAGGAAATTTGTCACATCGACCTCGTGCCGAGTGTTTTTCAGAACTGAACCCACAGCTGCAACGGAGACAAACATTCTCAAGCGCTCTTACAAGGCGAGCTGATTGATACACCAGTCATCAGTTATATCATTCTTAAAGTAATAGAAGGATTATAAGGTTATTAATAAATACAATAATGGAGCATAGTGCCTGCATACAGTGTGCACACACCCCCTCGACAACCATCTTGTTAGATTTCATCTAGTTTCTCGTGCAGCTTTAAAATCCAGCGTGGGCCATTGGATGGGAGCATGCGCAGACTTTCTGTGACGCTACGTTCACAAAATGCAAAAGAAGAATGACGATCAGTGGAAGTTTTAGTAAAGTGCACGAGAAACTCCTTTAGTGGAGCAGCTAAAACCGATTCTGCACAAGAATTGTGCAAAATGTTCTCCAAGCTCCAGATGTGGCACCAGAGTCTTCTGAACAAATCTACTGACTGGTCGTCTAAAAACCCACGATGGTTAATTTCTTAAACTAATTTTACTATTATTAATTTACTAATATGTTACATAGTATGAGGCTACTGACAGAAACAAAAAAACATTGACACAAAGGTCGTTTAAATTGATTAGTTGCATTAATTACTGTGCAGAAATAAGCTCGTAACTAAAACTAACATTTTTATGGAGATAAAACCGTTAATGCATTTGTGGATCTTGTGGATCTTGGTGTTCACGTGCGCGACTACTTTTGAGACTACTTTATCTCCATACAGTTTCCAGTTAATGCACAATAAGTTGAGGTATTTTGTATTTTTTACATTTTTCTTTTACACAATATTAAACTGACAGTTAGTCATTCTCTGGACTTTAAGTCTTTTCCAAACAAACTTCTCGCTCCTACAAATGTTTTGCTGCAGCAGAGAATCACATCTTCATCCTTCACGCCGTCTCTCCTAAAAGTAAAAGTTTTTTTTCTCAAATCCGTCCAGAATAAACACCAAACTTTCACTGACTTCAGCTATTGTGATATTCTTGTCAAAACTGGAAGGGAATGGTCTTAACTTGTCAAATTTCCAGAAGAAACCTAAAACTTCATGTCTGTGACATCAGTCTTCTGCTGCAGGAGCAGAATTATTCAGATCAGACCTGAAGTTTCATTCAGTAACTGTTTAAGGTTGATTTTCTTTGGGTTTGGGCAGTCTGGGCTCATCAGTGGTGTATTGCTGCCATCTCCTGTTCGGTTCTGTTCAATGTTCTCAATCTAATTGATTTATTAGGAAATTTGCTGTAGAAGTGCACATTGTAGACATTAAACCAACAACGGGTCTGGTCTCGACTGCTGGATAAAATAAATATCCTTTCATCGTCTGCTTAAAGAAGAGGAGCTCGCACGGTGACAGGAGCTTCAGAGTTCACATGTAAAGTTTCCTGAACCTCGTCGGTGAGAATCTGCACCGGACAGAGGCAGGAAAAGTCTTGACACGTGCGGGTCAGAGGTCAAGACGTACAGACTGTGGGAAGGCCTTGGAGTTTATGAGATGCGCCTGCAGGCTCCTCTCTGAGGAGATTAAACATCTAACTCACATTAATCTAACATTAGTTACTGATAAACATCCGTAACCTCATGAAGATGGAGCAACACTGAAATGGTGTTGGTTTAAATGCAGGTGAATAATGAATTCTGTCTTACTTTAAGTTTTTATTATTTTCTTAATGCTCAGAAGAACTTTCAGGAAGAGAGAAAGAGCGAGAAAGAGAGAGCGATCTGTCTGAGGAGAGCTTCATGTTTTGTTTGTTTTATGATTTCGTTTGGACTGACCACACCCCGCAGGGATGCTGAATGCACCGTTAAGGCCGTCGTCAAAGGGGCGTTGAGGTGATGAGGTGTTTTCTCCACATCCCCCTGAAATATTTTCACCCTGGGAGGGTTTTCCACGACACACACACAAGACGGCATCCTGACAAGCAAGAGGGTTATTGATAAAGAGATAAACAGCCATAAACTCTAACCCTAAACCCACCAACGGCACTGCTCCTCATGGGGTCTGGGCGTTGGTCCTCACAATGTAGTATAAGTTGGAAAAATGGTCCTTACAAGAAAACAAATACAAAGACACACGAACAAAATATGTCTGAAGGTCCTTGAGGGTTAGGAGGTCATCCCACCTAAAACCTGTTTTCCATTTATTTTGAAAGTAGAGCCTTAGAAAGCTTTATGTCAGGATTACAGCACACCTAAAACACGTGGTTATAATGGGAGTCAGTGGGACCAAACTGGGTTTCAGAGTAAAGAGTGTATAGGAGTACGCACTTTGCAATAGAGAGGAGTCATGACATTTTTTAATTAACATTTAAAAACAAATCCTGGCCAAGTTTCATGAAATATAGTCTTTAACTGACTGATATATTGAGAATCAAAAATAGTAAATAAGCAGAATGTACTTGTTTGTTTCCTATATATATATATATTTTTTTTAAACCTTTATTTGACCAGGAAAGAAATCCACTGAGATTATTAATCTCTTGTACAAGGATGTGCTGGTCAAGGTGCAAACAAGCCATAACAAATGCAGCAACAGCTTTAATAACAGTAACAGTAATATTAAAATATTTACACAAATTTTTTAAGATTAAAGTCAGAAATTTGCAGTATTTAGATAAAAAAAAAACGTAAAATATTCTTTCATCGTGGTGCAGATCTTCACCACAGGTTGTTATTGCACGGTCGATCCTGCAGGGGGCGCGTTCTCCCACCGCGGGGACTGAGAACCACCCATCCGGGCGAGGCGTCCCTGCGGTGGGACTGAGCCGCCGCAGCCGCTCGGTCGCTCCCAGAAGCTACAGTTAGCATCAGCTAGCGATGCTAACCGCTAACGGCGGAAAATGTTGACATTCCAGTCCGTGCTGACGGACCGGGGGAACGGTAGCGGCTTCCGAGGATCGTGCCATGACTTCGCCGAGCCGTGCTGTTGATGTTTCCGAGCTTTGAGCTATGCTCTCACGAAAGAAAAGCAAAAACGAAGCGTCGAAACCAGCCGAGGTTCACGGGAAGTATGTGAAGAAGGAGACGTCGCCGTTCCTCCGAAGTAAGCCCAGCATGCTAGCTCGGGTTAGCATGAGTTAGCCGAAGTTAACCAAAGTCCGATTGTAACCAGCTAGTTTAAACAAAACGCTTTAAATAAGTGTGGGAAGACGAGTTTTACACATTATTAAACTTTATCAACGTTTTAAGTGCTTACTGAGATTATACTTTGTAACCAAACACCAGGCTAACGTGGTGCTAACAAGAAGACTCAAAAACCGTAATAACAAAAAAAAACTAAATAAAATGTTTTAAACTTGCCAACACGACTTAAAACTTCTTTTAAAAGTTTAAAATTTTAAAGTAGCAATAAAACGGTCCATTATAAACAAAAGTTCTTGTGTTAATTTGGTGCTAACAGGAGCATTTTATAAGCTTAAATATAAATTTTTTATGCTTGTTCAAAGTGCTCCTTCATAATTAATTGTTCATAAAAAAAAAAAACACTTTTTATTTAAACTCAGACATGTTTGTTGAGTCTTTAAGTTGTTCCAAGCACAAACTTCAAAGTATTTTCCTGTGATTTTATGTTGCAGACCAACACAAAGTAGCTCAGTGTGAAGTGGAAGAGAAAATAATGCACAGGATTTAAAATAATTTACAAATAAAAATTATAATTTGTGTTCACCCTAGTTATTTTGATCTCCCAGTCTAAGAATCCATCTAATTAGTAAAACCAATCCAGATGTGTTTACTTTAACCTCACTATAAATCCAGCTGTGAAGGTCTCAGATCAAACAGCATCATGAAGACCAAGGATCAAACCAGACAGGTCAGGAGTAACGTTGTTGTGAAGCTTACAGCAGAGCTCTGTTCAGTCCATCATCTGACCCAAACATGGCCGTCCACCTAAACTGACAGGAGGGCGTTAATCTGAGGAGCAGCCAGGAGGCCGAGCTGCAGAGGTCCACAGCTCAGGTGGGACAGTCTGTCCACAGGACTACGGTTAGTCCACAAATCTGTCCTTTATGGAAGAGGGAGGAGAAAGCTGTTGAAAGAAAGACAGAAGATGTCCTGTCCATGTAGGGACACAGTAAACATGGAAGAATCAGATCAGACTGTCCTGAACACACCGTCCCCACTGTGGAGCACGGTGGTGGCAGCATCATGCTGCGGGGCTGCTTCCCTTCAGCAGGACAGGAAGCTGCTCAGAGTTCATGTGAAGGTGGAGGGAGCTGAATCCAGAACAATCCTGAAAGAAAACCTGCTGTCAAAGACTTGAGGTCCACCTTCCAGCAGGACGTCCACCCAGATCTACAACGGGATGTGTCAGAACAAAACGTGTTCACGTGTTAGAGCGGTCCAGTCAAAGTCCAGACCTGAATCCAGCTGAGAATCTGTGGAGAACCTTGAAAGCTGCTGTTCAGACGCTCTGCATCCAACCTGCATCCAACCTGACTGAGCTGCAGCTGCTTTACACAGAAGAATGGGACAAAACACGAGTCTCCAGATGTGGACAGCTGCTGGAGACAAACCTTAAAGACTTGGAGTCACAGAGACAGGTGGTTCTACAAAGTACTGACTCAGAACACAAATGTAGGAAACACTTTTAGACTTTTATTCATAAAAAAACTATTTTCCTTCAACTGAACAGTCATGCTCTACTTTGACATTTTAATCAATCCCAGAAAAATCCTTTGAAGTTTGTGGTTGGACAAAATGTGTTGGTTCAAGAGGCTTGAAGACCTTTTCAAGGAGCTGCCTATTAACGTGAGTCCCTGAAAGTTGTGTTCAGACGAGCGCCTGAGCCCACACGTTTTTTATTTAGACTTTAAGCCCGGGGTGTCCAGTCCTGGTCCTCGAGGGCCTGCATGTTTTAATTGTGCCCCTGCTTTAAACCTTTATTTATCTGTGAGGTAGATGATGAAATCATCCAGCTGTAAGATATGGAGAAACATTATTGAGAGTGGCAAACCTTTCCTCATTCATTGTTAGCTTTTAAAGACTCATCCTGTCCTTTTATGCATCATTACTTGTTGTCAAATCAACTTAAATAATTTATTAATGTGCAACCTTTTTGGTGTTTTCAACTAAAGTATGCAACTTTTATTATTTCTGGTGTTGCTTGCCTCATGTTGATTATTGTCGATGTTTGCAGATCTCATGCCCTCCTTCATCCGCCATGGACCCACTATTCCTAGACGAACAGAGGGCCCCCCACCAGAGATGGGGTCGTCTTCCTATCCTGTGGCGCCCGGCAGGGAGTCCGTGACGTCCCGTAACAAAAGTGTCCTCCGGCCACCTGTACAGAGACCTCCGCACGAGGTGGCCCGCAGAGAAAGCCACCGCATGTCAGCACCTCCGTACCTGCCGCGCAGTCTGGGAGACCTGTCCCACGAGTACCGGGGCTCGACACAGTCCTTCCTCACAGAAGTGGGTCCCATGTCTGAAAATGGAGAAGCCACCCGGTATTATTACCCACCTGAACCCTATTATGAAAACCAGCAGCAGCGCCAGCCCAAGAGAGTCCAAGAGCGCTTTCCTGAGGACTATAGATACTATGAACACAATGAACACAACTTCCAAAGACTTCCCCGCCAACACACTTCCCCGTCTCCAAGTCGACCCCCCTCAGGTGAGAATAAGATGTATTTGTTGCCATATTTTTGCAGTTTTACTTCGGGTACCTATTGTCTAAAACAGTGGGTACCAACCATGGCCCTTGAGGAACACCATCCTGCACGTTTTAGTTGTTTTCCTGCTTTGACACGCCTGATTTGAATTAACGAGTGATTAACGGGCTTCTGCAGAACTTGATGAAGTAAATTACAGGATCCGGTGTGTCGGAGTAGGGAAACAACTAAAACATGCAGGGTGGTGTTCCCCAAGGACCAGAGTTGGGAACCACTGAGATTAAATGAGACACTCAGAAAAATTTCAGGCGGTGACGTTTATTTAACATATTAAAGGAGCTGCTGACTTTAGCTGCTGCACACGTTGCTTTAAAAAGCGTTGGACAGGAATCTGGTCTTTTCTTGCTTTTTAGTAGCAGCTCCTCCGGTTTCAAAATGTTTCGGGATGATTAAAGTCGTAACAGACTGTTTTAAAGTTTTTAGTCTTTAAAGGGACCTCTGACTACATGCACACGTTGGCCTTAATATGTTATTTTTCTACTCGACTAAAAGTTGTTTGTGTCACGTAAAAATGTCAAATTACTTAAAAATTTGTAAATGTCTATTACATTTTTCACCTAAGGACGTAGCCATTATTTTACAGGCGCAATGCATTCTGGGTGATCATTTACAAAGGCAGCAGTGAAGACTTAAACAAAGGGTCGGCTAAAAATATGTGACAAAGTTATATTTTGTATAAGTCATGCCGTTTTGCACGATATATATAGGTTGAAATGAACACGAGGTCAAATTGTGATAAATATTTTAGCTCTGGCGCTAACCTCAAAGCTACAAGGCTGAAGCTGAGGCGCAGCGCTTCCTCGCTTTCAGCTGCAGGCTGACTCGTTTCTCCGTCAGCGAGCTCCGGTTCAAATTAAAGGGCTGAGCGTAATTAACGTTCAAGCTAGATGGAGCTTGCACCGGAGCAACTTGTCTGTCATTTACCCAGAATGCACTGCAACATAAACAACATAATAGCAACATTCATGTGACAGTAAGTTTTAGAAAATTATAAAAACTAAACAAACTACAGTATTTTTACAGTCCTATTTTATAGCTGAAGCAAAAGCTCCTGTTATTCAAGGATTCCTTTAAAACATTTATTTTATATAAGTGTGTAGTTTCAAAAAGTGGATGATCATGTATGGTTGCTGTTGGAATTACAGACATTTGAAGGAATGCATATCGCCCGCTTCTTCTCATGTGGAGAAACAGTTTTCTAATGTTGGCTATAACTTATGACACTGTTTATTTTTAATGTCTTCTTAAATTGACTTGATGTTTCTATCTAAACTGCCCGCTGTTAGAGCGCTCAGTATGAATGGCTAGTTTTTAGATCTGCCGTAAGTGTTTTATGTGAAGGTGAGGGTCGAGTTTCTTTTGATGACGAGGTGAAGGAGTTCAGTTTTTTGGAGGAAACACGTTCGCCCTTTCAGAAAGCAGCTGGCAGGGAGCTCCAGCTCTGTTGCTGTCACCGTCGTGCAGATTTGATCAAATGCTAACTGATTATTTTTCTGAGAAACTTGATTCCTTCACATTTTCAAGCCTCTCCAAGTCCCTGCAGGCTCATGATTCTCCTTGTTCAGCCTGCAGCTGTGGGCCCAACATTCCTTAAAAAACCACGGGTCGTCACTTTTCTGCCGGCTCTTCAAAAGTGTTCAGAGGTTTTTCTTCTGTTGGAAACGCCTGGCGAGAAAGTCAAAGATGCACCGTCACAACAAAGTCCAGCCCAGAGTCACAGCTGCAGGTTCTGATCCACTGCCTCATCTTTGGCCGCACGTTCTTCTCCTTAAAAGAACACGTTCCCACACATATCGTAAAGAAATGTCTCTAAATATTGCTCTTCCTCCCAGAGGTGCTTGGAGCTCCCAGCTGCTTCGTGGTGTTTGCTCAGACGTCCCCCCCCACTGCCTCCGGGTTCCCCTAAAAGACCTTTTTGTTTTTCTCAGGCATCGGTCGAATACAGGCCAAGTCCCTGGGGAACCTCTCCAGCCTGACAGGAGACGACGTCCCCCTCCCGGCTGGTTGGATCGTCGACTGGACCATCCGTGGCAGGAAGTACTACATCGACCACAACACCAACACTACACACTGGAGCCACCCTCTGGAGAGGGAGGGGCTCCCCCCGGGCTGGGAGAAGGTGGAGTCCTCTGAGTTTGGCGTGTATTACGTGGACCACATCAACAAAAGAGCCCAGTATCGACATCCATGCGCCCCCAGGTATGACAACAACGAGACTTTTAAATTTATTTCATTAGCTGTGCTCATGCACCGGTCTTTGTCTCTGCTGTTGGACTTGTTTCCACTCAAATCCCCCAGAACGCAGAGTTCATCCGCCTATAAACTTTAGATGCATTTCAGCTGAAAATATTCAAAATAAGAAGTTAAACATCTTAACTTGTCGTGTTGCCTACAAAGAAAAGTAAAAATGCTCCTGTGTGTTTTCTGCTGCGAACGGTTCAAGAGTTTTAAAGCGCCGACTTTTAGTTTTTTCACAGCAGCTGTTTGTTTGAGGCTTATTTTTTAGTGTGCTTCTGTCTGCCTCTCATTACCTTGTCAGACAGAGTGAAAAACAGGTGTGTGGTTACCGTGGCGACCATAGTTAGCCACTGGCAGCAGATTTCATCCATCAGATTATGAGCTTAGATTATTAGAGGGATGTTGGTGCAGCATCATCCAACACGTCTGCAGAAAGTTTAATTATTTTACTCTCTTTAATCTACTAATGATGACATGTCAGAATAAATGGACGTTTGTTTGGACTCTGTAACAAAAGAGCTAAAAATATGTTGTCTGTGCATTCCAGCGTGCCCCGCTACGATCAGCCCCCGCCACCTCCACTTCCTGTGACCTATCAGCCACGTCCAGCAGAACGGAACCAGCCCGTGCTCGTGCCGGCGAACCCGTACCACACAGCCGAGATCCCGGACTGGCTGCAGGTCTACGCCCGCGCACCCCTCAAGTGAGCACCGTTATCAGCAGCTGGTGACGATCACAGCAGTGATCGATTGGTTAATGATCAATCAAACTTTGACCTGAAGCCCCCGTTTAAATCAAGCAGGTCACAAAGAGGCCGGGGGGGGGTAAATACGTTAACTGACTTCAGGACGATAAATAACGATAGAGACGAGATGGATGAAGGAATTTTTTAGCAGCGTACTTCATTTGTCATTTGTCGTCCTCAGTGTTTGTGGAGAATTATTAAAAATTTCCTGCACTTTTTAAACGTTCAGTAGAAATAAGTTTTTAAATCATTCACACTGTTGAGATCGGCTTTTCTTCTCTGCAGTGTTTCTATAGTAAACAATTAGTTTTAACTTCTTAAAGCTCGCTTATAAAACTTCAGCTTTACTTCACAGTATCCTCCTGAGTTAATTATGAGGAGGACCCACCACCCAGTTATTAAACTAGATCAGAAACTAATCTAAAAGCTGAACTGTTTAATCCCAAATTTCTCTCTTATACAATATTTATACATATATTATGACTGAGTAGGAGCAGCTGTGGCTGAGTGGTTAGAGCATTCCTCCAGTGGAAGAGTTGGGGGTTTGATTCCACCAGCAGTCACATGCTGAAGTGTCCCTGGGCAAGACACTGAACCCCTCACTGCCTCTGATGTGTCCCATCAGTGCATGAATGTGTGTAATAGTATAAATGTGTGTAGTAGTATGAATGTGTGTAGTAGTATGAATGTGTGTGTGTAGTAGTATGAATGTATGTGTGTAGTAGTATGAATGTGTGTGTGTGTGTGTAGTAGTAGTATGAATGTGTGTGTGTAGTAGTAGTGTGTGTAGTAGTATGAGTGTGTGTGTGTAGTAGTATGAATGTGTGTGTAGTAGTATGACTGTGTGTGTGTAGTAGTAGTATGAATGTGTGGAGTAGTATGAATGTGTGTAGTAGTAGTATAAATGTGTGTAGTGGTATGAATGTGTATGTGTGTAGTAGTATAAATGTGTGTAGTAGTATGAATGTGTGTGTAGTAGTATAAGTGTGTAGTAGTATGAATGTGTGTGTAGTAGTATGAATGTGTGTGTGTAGTAGTATGAATGTATGTGTGTAGTAGTATGAATGTATGTGTGTAGTAGTATGAATGTGTGTAGTAGTATGAATGTGTGTGTGTGTAGTAGTAGTATGAATGTATGTGTGTAGTAGTAGTGTGTGTAGTAGTACGAGTGTGTGTGTGTAGTAGTATGAGTGTGTGTGTAGTAGTAGTATGAATGTGTGTAGTAGTAGTATAAATGTGTGTAGTGGTATGAATGTGTATGTGTGTAGTAGTATAAATGTGTGTAGTAGTATGAATGTGTGTAGTAGTAGTATAAATGTGTGTAGTAGTATGAATGTGTGTGTAGTAGTATGAATGTGTGTGTGTAGTAGTATGTGTGTAGTAGTATGAATGTGTGTGTAGTAGTATGAATGTGTGTGTGTAGTAGTATGAATGTGTGTGTAGTATGAATGTGTGTAGTAGTATGAATGTGTAACACAGTCTGTGTTGTAAAGAACTTTGAGCGTGGCTCTGTACAAGTCCAGTCCATGTATCGTTTGTTTTTCTGTTGTTCTTCAGTGTAGTCCGGTAGTTTTTGTGTTTGTCCAGTTAATTCTGATGTTTGAACGTCGTGGAGCTGCTCCTGGATGTTGAAGCTCGGTTTGGATTTTATTCTGAAAGTTTAATCCCAGAGGTTGAACTTCCTCTTGATCCAACACTAAAAAACTTTTCACTTCTATTTGTGGACTGGATTAAAAACATTAGTGACGTCAGAGTGTGACCCGGGTTAAAGAGGGTGCAGAGGTCTGGGGCCCAACCCTCAACCCCCCAAAGTACCGTTGGTAATGCCGTGCTTGTCCCGTCAGGTACGACCACATCTTGAAGTGGGAGCTGTTCCAGCTGGCCGACCTGGACACCTACCAGGGGATGCTGAAGCTGCTCTTCATGAAGGAGCTCGAGCACATCGTCAAGTCCTACGAGGTGTACCGCCAGGCGCTGCTGTCCGAGGTGGAGGCTCGCAAACAGCGGCAGCAGTGGTTCACCCCGCAGCCCAACAAGAACTTCACGGGAAACATGTGAGGCGTCCGTACAGCATGGGGGGGGGGGTTAACATCCGCCCCTTATGGCTTTCTTACCAAACATGTGCCTTTTGCTTCATCCAAAAACATCCGAGCATCGCTCACTCTGAACGGGTGAAACGTCACGCTGCCTCCGGGGAGACATTTAGCCCGAGAGCCGATTCTAGTTTTCAAGACTGACGCGCCGAGTCTGAACACTCTGCTCTGGATTAAAACGCATCTCGAGATTGTGCCGTTAACGAGGTCAAATCCAGCAGCTAATCCGTCAAACGACAGGCAGCTTCTTATTTAAACACTTCACTCTTTGTAACCTTTATAAACTTTAAACAGTTCTCTTTACAGCAAATAAACCTTTCAGTTGTTCTTTCTGTACATTTTGTATAATTCTGCAGACAATCCAAGCGTTCCAGTGATTTTCAGATTATGTGCGAGGCGTTTGATGCTCAGCTCTTTTGTATGTTTTATAAAACAGAAGCTCGATGATGCCTTTTATCTCTAAAACAAGTAAAGTTTGACAAACAAGTGCAATTTAAGCCTTTCTGTTCCAGTGGCTCCAGTTTGTTTTGTGCACTGGTCTTCCCTGAGTTTTACTCAAACGTTCAGGATCGTCAGGAATCAGAAGAGTTTTTAATGAATTAAGAACGTTGATCACTGGAAACGAACAGAATCTGTTCTCTCTGCAGGAAGGACTCGTCCTTTCACCTCTTTGTTTCTGCAGGTTGTTTGTTCTGGTCAGCAGTGGAAATAAAACCAACACTTGTAAATTATTAAACGATTTAAGCAACTAAAACCAGAATATTATCTAAAATCAAGCTGTTAGATTCCAGTTCTCTGAGTTGTATTCAAACTGAAGACTTCTTGTTTTGAACCAGTAAACAGACGTTTTGTTGGTTCAGTATATAAAAAATAAAAAGTCATCTCAGCGAGACGTCAATAAATAAATAAAAGTCATCAAATTACGAGAATAAAGTACAAGACTTTTTGCAGCTCTTTTTTTTTTTCACGAGTCACATCCACGACGCGACCTGTCAATCAATCCAGTAGGCGTGTCAGCAAATGACCGATCTGAAGCTGAAGGGTTGCATGGCGAGCGCCGTGGGCAGCCTCCAGTGCGAGTCGCTGTGGTGATGACGTCGTCCACGATCACTTTTGGGTCACAGTTTATGAAATATGTCTCCATCCATTTTATGTCACGACTAAATCCGTCCATACGGCTTCAGTTTATCATGAGAATGTTCAACATTCTTCATTTTACCAGTTAAAATAATGTAAATCTGCTTTATCATGTCAGAGTTCAGATAATTTTACGACTTTATTCTGTTAAAAATATTACGACTTTATTCTCATAATATTATTAGTTTATTCTCGTAATTTTACCACTTTATTCTTGTAATTTTATGGCTTTTAATATTTTAATTCTTAGCGTGGCCCTTAAGCTCCGTCGTATCCAGCAGGGTTTGGCCCACTCATGGAAAAATCACATGAACGGCGCATGCGAAACGTGTTTTGCGTGTATATTTGGGGACATTTTCAACACGTTCATGTGATCCCGTGTTCACCACACGGGATCACATGAAAACTGTTTTAAATGTGATCCCATGTTCACCACACGGGATCACATGAAAACTGTTTTAAATGTGATCCCGTGTTCACCACACGGGATCACATTTAAAACAGTTTACGTGATTTTTATACGACGCTCTAAAGGCGGACGGGTGGCGGTATCGTTCTCGTCCTGCACAAAACTTTGATCCGCTCAAGGGAATTTAATGAAACTTTAGGCACACCTGCATCATCACTAGACGGAGGGTCCCGTACACTTCCATCACCCCAGCTTCAAGGTCAAGGTCACAAGTCAAGGTTATACAAGGCATCTTTGTGCCATCACTGTAGATGCTGTGTAACCTTTTATTGACGGGTGGATAATGTGCGTATGCGGTGCTCGTTTCATAACGAGTGCCTTGATGGTCCTGAGATGAACTGCTCCCTGCACAGACTCGAGGTCACCTGTGCCAGACCAGCAAACAAAACTAGAGACCAGGTGAGGAGCTCGGAGCAGAGCCGCTGCTCCTCTAAATGGAAAGGAGTCGGCTGAGGAGGTTCCTCTGATCTGAACGCCTTCATTTAGGCGGGAGGAGACCACCATGAAACAACCTGGTGGAGGGCTTGTGCATCTTCTCTGGCCTAGGAACGTCTTGAGGTTCTCCAGGAGGAGCTGGAGAGGGAGGTCTGGTTTCTCTCGTGGATCGGATGCCTTTGCGACCCGACCATGGATAAGAAGATAAAGATGGCAGCTCAGAGGAACCTGAAGCTGCTTGGAGACATGACCATAATACAAGAACAGCTAACACGTTCCACTCCAGCAGATCTTTGTTAAATAAATTTCAGTTGTTTTGGTTCAAAGACATCGAGCGCTTTTAAACGAACCACTAGCAGAGAAATGAATCGGTGCTTCATTGAGCAGACGTTTATCCACCGTGTTTCTGCAGAACTGTTGGAGCTTTTTTTAAAGAACACGTTAAATTCATGCTTGATTCAGTGAAACCAGTGAAACCAGTTTCAGCACATTATCTCCTTTAAGCTGTTTTAATAACCGTGAAAGATGAAGCTTTAAAATAGACTTGATCAACTTTATAAGAAACAAAGTCTTCAGTTCGTTAATTTGGTCCAACTTTATTTTCTTTGTGGTGCTGAAGCTAAACATCTGATCTGATCCCTTCAGGAGAAAACTGGCTAAAGACCCCCCCCCCCCCCCCTTTTAAATAAACAACGTTTGCTACACGATGTAAACAAATCCTATGGAACGACACTCTTCAGTAAACCGCTCCGGTGCCACAGGTGATTCTCGTTACGTGTTCGGGCGATGAAAGGGATCTGGACCGAGGATCTGGTCGTGTGCACGTGGCCGAGATGCATCAAATAATTCTGCACTTCCTGGCACCACCTGGATACAACCATCAACAGATTTATTTTAATAAACCGAACCTGATTTCAGAGTCCAGGTGAGACATCAACCATTTACCATGCAGGTGATGCTGCTTCGTCACACGGCAGCTTTCCCGGGACGGAAATGTTCGTTTTTAACGGCACTGAACGTCACGGAACAGAACAACGTCACGAACGACGAGTTTACACGTTAAATTATTGTCGACAAATGAAAAGCGGCGTGATATGAAAGCAAACGGCTGACTGGAGGTCAGAGAGCCTGCGGTGTGTACGGCGTCTGCAGACAGAAGGACAATCGGACGTCCCCCCTTACAGAGGAGAGGGCTCTGACCTTATCGATGCACGAGTATTAGAGAGTTCGTTACACGTGGGAGCTTTAGTCGTTGCTCAGAGTAAGTGTCCCATCCAGAGAAGTGTCTCCTGTCTTTGTCTCAGTCTCTCTTGTCCCGCTCCGCCGCCTCGTCCACCTGAGGCCCGGGGAAGGCGTGGTGGTACAGGTGCCTGTGGTTGGCCGCTACGTTGTACAGCTTGTACAGAGCCTGTGGAGCAGAGGGACGTGGAGTTACACACGACGACTCTACGTTCAATCTAAAGGACAAACATCTGGACAGTAAAAAGGACGATTTGTTGGAAAATCTCTCTATAGTGATTCTCAACCTTTATTTATACAGGTTAGTCTCACTGGTCACGAGGACTCATTTACAAGAGACACCTGTCATTAAATAAAAACATCTGGTTTGTCGTGAATTAAAACGAGACATTTAGAGAAAAAATTACAACTCGAGCAGAAACACATCTGTAACGAGACAAACGCAGAGTTAGGACTCAAAGATGCTGCTCGATAATCCAGGTAGAAACGTCAGGTCCTCTGGACGGATTAAAAAATAAAATAAATGGTTGTTCATCTTGTATCCAAAGGACTTCTTCAGTCTGAGGAGCTGCAACAAACTCAGTCTTATAAATATCACCTTCTCATGGTGGATCAACCAGTTTGTTGTTGACATCCAGAACCAGCTGTTAATAGGATTAAAAATGATGGAGGACGATCACCAAACTAACTGATGAACTGACCAACGACCCTGATGGCCGCTTGCTATTCACAGAGGGCTGAGTGATACTAGCAATAACAGCGTTGTAAGAGGGGGACCGTTCAAATCAAACTATAATTTTCCTGTTTTTTTTTGTAAATTTTTTTTGACGTCCTGCTTAATTTGTGCCACGTCTACATTAAAAGGTTCAGGAGAACGTGCTCAGAAACGACTCCATCAGCAAGTTTAAGCAACGTTATTTAGCACTTAGCATTGATTTTCACAGGAAATGCAACTTCTCTGGGAGTTGTTGTTGGTTTTGCTTTAAAATGCACTCAGGACTCTTTTCACAGCTCAAGCATTTCTCAGATGAACCAATCTCACCCAGACAAACACCAAAATGAACCTTAGTGTCTCATACGACATCAGGCCACGAGTTCTTCAGAACAAGCTGCTCGTGTTGCCTTTCCAGACTCAAACACAGAACCAGTTATTATATTTTTCACTGAGAGTCCACCCACGTTCTTTTCTACTCACCTCATTAGTGCTCCCCTGCAGAGGCATTAAAAGAAACAAGTAGAGAGTGAGTGGATCGCGTGTAACAAGCAGAACACAAAGTTCAAACAACAGTAAAGAGCGGCTCAGACAGTTTTCTACAAGTGAGCTAAAGATGAGCTGTCGTCCCCTGCTGCTGCAAACGTAACGCTTCGCCAGAGGCGTCTCAGATTTCTGCTCTTTCACCGTTAACAATATGCACTGTCCTGCCTGATTATTGTGAAAATATATTCTGCAGACTTTTTGCTGTTTTAGTCTTTTATACATCAAAACAACTCCTAGCTCATGTCCAGGAGTTCATCAGATGGTTAAGCTGTAACACCAGGAGTTACAACATTCAATCTCTTCACAAGTAGCAGCCTGACCAACAGCTCTCCCTGTGTGGCTAGAGTACGCTCCGCTTCTCTCATGCATGAGTATTCTCCAGTTAATCAAGTGGAATGGATTTGTTCATGAAAAAATGGAAACAGCGCTGGGTGAGCTAATGTTTCATGGTAAATTTGGGGTGTTCCGAATTAATATTTTTTAAATGTGGGAGGGACATGTCCCCTTCACATGTAATTATTGAGTTTGACTTTCTGAAATGACAAAAAAAATTATTTCACAATATTCTATTGTTCTGAGAAGCAGCTGTATATTGTATATGGTGGCAGCCATCTTGGATTTTAACGTGGCAGCCCAATTTTTGAAAGGAAACTTTCTAATTTCTGCCTCCATGTTGCCACACACCAAAATAGAAGTCGGTTCCTTTACTTATTTTTCATAATATCCAGCTCACAACATGCACGGACGGACAGAGGCTGTTTCCAATTCCCTGTGCTCCACAACGTGGGACCATTAGCTGTGGTGGTAGCTGAGACTGATCCTCAACACATTCTGAGAAAACAACATTGATGCCTGAAGTGTATTTACCTGGTCCCACAGCGCACCAGCCACCTGATCAATGACGGCGCCGAGTTCTCTGTACTCCCCAGAGTAGCGGATATAGGCCCAGGTGCAGAGGGTGATCAGCGCCAGGCCCAGGATCATGTTACACAAGCTGGCGATGATGTCCACGCCCACGAAGCCCGTGATCCCGGCGGCCACGTACATGACGAAGATGACCACGAAGAGCGTGGCGGGCGTGCGAGCTGCGTGGAAAATGTTCTTGGAGTCATTGTGCTTGATGTACTGGATGAACACCTCGTCGACCTCGCCTTCCAGCTGCTGCAGGTAGCGCCGGCTGAACTCCTCGCCTCCCATCTTCTTCACGCCCCGAAACAGCTGCAGGGCTTCCTCTCTGATGGCGCCGTGTCGGGACTGCAGCTCGCTGGGGGCCAGGAAGGGCCGATCCCCTCCGCAGACCTGGGAACGGAAAGAAGCGGGTTAACGTGGTGGGAAGCAGACGTCCACAGAACGTTTCAAAACTACCGTTTCCACCAACCTCCTCCATCTTTCTGTTGTACAGATCCTTGGCCGCTGCGACGGCTGCCAAGTTGTTGGCCTCTGCTGTGGCCTGATGGGAGCACAAGGTTTACGTGTTTAACACCAGCAGTAAAGTAAAGCACAAGCAGAACCAACATTTAGGTCGTTCATTAAGATTCCAGACGTGACTATAAAGTCGGATGCAAATAAACCACCAGAAGGTCTGAATCAGTGGGGTGGGTCAGGACCCTGCTGATGGTTGGGGGTTGTGGGAAGATCTCCAGAAACCAATTAAAATGTCACAGTGTTATAAAGGTAGTAATAACATGACCATAGGCGAGGGCTAGGACGTAGATAGATCAGTAAACTGGGAGCTTTTTTTATTTCACTCCAGTATTTCTTCACCACGGCAGACTGTACCAACATCCTAATTATTACTGAGGACGAGGCTCAGCCAAAAGTCTTCTCCAAATCCACAAGACACACGTGGAGAGTCAAACTCCCATGACCCCCTTAGCATCTCCAAAAGTCCACTTTGCCATGACCTCAATGAAAACCACACTGCTCCTCCTGAATTCAAGGTTCAACAATCAGAGTCTCCTCGAGGTGAGAACGTCTTTCTTCATTCTGACCATAGAAACTCCACCTGAACCAACTCTTCTGTCTCCCCTTCCTGTCCTGAACCTCAGCTCGTGCTCAGAGCATGCAAGACGGACCACGACACATTTTAACAATATCTGTAAAAAATGTGGTTGTTTTTGGTGGATCATGTTGCTTCAACAGGCAAAAAATACAATGTCCTTTCACTCTAAACACAACCGCAGAGGAGCCAGATACAGAATTCATTAAATGCACAGAGACCAGACAAATAATGAACAGGTACCTGCAGCATGGATTTAGGGTGTGGCAGCTCCTCACCTTGGTAAATTTTGATGTAAGCCTGCAGCACAAAGAAAAGTGGGAGCACAAATATCTTTGATGTTCAAAGACATTTCAAACATCTATACAGTCAGAAATTATGATAAAAAATATGATAATGACAAAAGAAAGTCCACCATGGCTTTTCTGTAATAGGACATAATAAAAATGTTCTTGTCTTTACCCGGTTCTAAAAAGATTCAAGTTCAACCTCAAGTGAATGAAAACGCACAACTCGGTCCACCACGTTGTTCAATAAACAAAAACAAGCACAAAACGGAAAAGCTGAGCGTAAAAACAAGGTTCCAGCCTCTGATAGAACCTCCTGGAGAAGGTGAGTGCTCTCCACCACACACCTGTAGAAGGCCAGCAGCCGTCCTGCCCGTCTGGAGGTAGTACCGGTGCTGGTGGAGCTTCTTGTGTCAGTGGACCTCGTCTGATCCCGTCAAATATTTGAAGACGTGGAGAATTTCCACAGCTGTGCTTCCAAAGGCCACCGGAGCGAGGCTGGGACTCCTGAAGTCCACCTCCCCCAAATGAAGGAGATGATTCTGTACCCCACACCAGTTTTAGTGAACGACCCTCTGTTTGTAGATCTGCTGCCGTGGCATCATCTGTTTCCTAATAATTGATTTATTGGAGCTGTGTGGAGTGTTCAGGGTCCTGGGGTAGTTTTATGACCCAAACCTAATCTGTATTTCTTTACAACTTTGATCTGTATGAGCAGTTCCTTGGTCTTCATGATGTCCGTTGCTTGGTAGACCTTACCGTTTAGAGGAGTTGAACTGTTCTCTGTTGGATCTGTTAGAACAAGTTGTAGATCATTTGACACTCAGATCCCTTACAGGTGAACCTTATTTTACAAATTATTTGCCTTCTGAAGGGAACAGTTAAAGTTTCAAAGTAAAAGGGCTGAAATCAAAAACCATTAAAAAATATATTTAATTTTCCCTCATTTCATTAATCTGGAGTATTTTTGGAGAAATATTGCTTTTCCTCAATCCAATTAAATTCCAGCTTGTGAACAACAAAGTCGACGAATTCCCAAGATGGATAAATCCTTTTCCTGCCCCCTGCAGAGAGGCGATCAGTCCGCTGATAATCAGTTCATCAATACGTCTGATCAGCAGCACCTGGTTCTTAAATTCTGTGGAAATCAGTTTTTCACACAGTTCATCCTCTTTGACTTTGGTGTTGTTAACAAACAACGATGTTGTCTGTGACGATCGGTTGTTTTTCTTTCCTCGAGGTTGAATTTGAATCATTTTAGAAGCAGATGAAGACCAGACCCTAGAACTGAACCGTAAGCTCCTGACTGCAGCCGGACAACTTGATTTAAGTGATAACGACGTTTTGATCTGACCTTAAAGTACTCCACCAGGCCTCTGCACGTGATTTTGCTGCCGTTGATCTCCTTCACGTCGATGTTCCGAGGACTGAGGAGCCAGGGGACCAGAACCTTCAGGTTGTTTGTGAACTCAGCATCGATTTCTAGTGGACAACGAGGACACATGCTGTCAAGATAAAGATCTGAAAGCTGACGGTTGGTTTGAACCTTTGTTCAGCTTTCTTCCAGGGATGAATCAGAAATTAAGAAAATCTAAAGAAACACCATTATCTGTGAAAAAGCAGTAAGCGCTGAACGACTGCTGAAATTTGCTGAAAAAGCTGAAAGTGAGTTGTTAAACGAAGCAGAACACTAGCTAAAAGCTCAAATTAAAAAAACTTTGGCAAAAGCTTAAAAGTTTCAAAAAGCTAGTCAAAAGTATCAAAGCCTAGCTAGTAGCTAAAAGTAGAAAAACGTTAACGAAGAGCTAAAGTAGGAAAATGGAAGCTAAAAGCATAAGTAGCATAGTAAAGACTATATATGCAGATGATAAAGATAACGAACCCTTAAGTCGTCCATCAAAGTGTGGGTTGGTGGCCACTTTGAGTCCGGGGTGAGGCATCAAGAAGCAGGAGATGTTGGTGAAGCAGGAGTGGATGTGTTTACGGACGTTCTGCAGCTCTTCGTGCTGATTTTCTGAGATCTGAATCACAACCAAAAACACAAACCTTACATGATTCATGGAGGCCAGCCTCAAAGTTTTGATTTATTTTTCCAACAGCAAACACTGGTGTAACATTGTAGAACGTCTCGCAGGTCTGACCTTCAATCTCTTCTCGAGGAACTTCATGCCGCCTTCTTGTCCATAAGGAAACTCGTAAGGAAAACTCCAGTCACGAACCAGAAAAATCATGGACTAGGGAAGAAAATGCACCATTTAACCTTTCATATAGAATGTTATATGCATTTGTTGACTTTCAAGTTCATCTTAGATTTGATAAAATTGTTCTAATTAAAATGCTTTTGATGCAGAGTAAGATCCAACAGTTAAACATTTTGTTTTAAGCAGCAGGTTATTAAAGAAAACACCATCCAGTACCTGAAAGGGCTTGAGAAAAGTCTCTTCCATTGCTAGCCTTCCATACTCGGTAAAAAGCTGGAATGAAAACAGTCACATTAGAGACGATGTGAAGTGTTTCACTTTGTTGTTACAGAGACAGACAAATTTGTATGTCCCCTTTTGCCTCACATGGGGCGCCAATATGTAGAATGAGGAGTAAAGAAGTGTGATGCTTCGTCCTCACCTAAATACGTTTATTTTATCTTGTTAACATTGGGGGCATTAGGTCAGTTTATTGACCTAAAACAAATTATGTCATAATTGGATTTATTTTTTTACCTGTAGATGCTGAAGATCATCCTCTTGTATATTCTGTGAAATGTTATAAACCTGGAAGATAATAATTAATAATAATAATCAGTTGAAAACATCCAAACTGGCGTGTCAGAGAACAAACAAGATGGGACGATCTGAGATCGTTTAGTATGGTTAAAAATGGAGGACCGACTCAAAACAGGCAGCAGAAGTATTCACCCCCCATGGTATTTTAACTTCTTTGTTGGTTTACAACCTAGATTTTTTTAAATTTGATTCTAAGTAGTTCTTCAAAAAGTATTTCATATCGTTGAGTTTAAACAGGTTTAAATTATACAAAATAATATTTATGTGTCAAATGATATACACATAAAGTAACAGCTGCCAGAATCAACACCAAACCAACATCCAACTGCCAAAAAGCAGGAGACATCATGAAGACCAAGGAACTCTCCACACAAATCAGAGAGAAAGTTGTAACAAAAGAAAGGTCTAGGTTGGGTTAATAATTCATATCCCATAGCCCACTGGCACCAGAAACATTTGTAATGTTGGGGGGGGGGGGGGGGGGGGACACACCTGGGGGGGTGGTGGGGGGGGGGGGGGGAGACACACCTGGGGGGGTGTTTGGGGGTCCTCCCCCAGAAGATTTTGAATAAAGAAAATGCTGTTTCCTGCATTCTGGTGTATTTTAACGGGTTGTTAAACATCTATGTTTACCTACATAAGTAAAGACTTGATTCTGAAACTATTTTAGAGAGCAACAAGAAGTAGCCTGACCAACAGCTCTCCTTGTGTGAACAGTCGTGCTGCAAGTCATGCTCTGTTAAGTTATTTTTATTGTCATGCGTCATGTATGATATGTTATGTAATGTTATGGTTGATGTCATGTCACATAATTTTATGGTATATCTTGACATGCATAGACATTTCCTGTCACGTCATGTAAAGCCATGTCATATGTCATGTTAAGGTCATATTTTGTTATATGTTAGGTGTATCCGGACATGTTATATTATAATAAATCATGTCATATCATAATTTGTAAGGTCATGTTTTTTTAATATTACTTAATATGTCCTGTTCTTGCTAAACAAGAATTAAGTAACAAATGAAAGTAACAATTATAGCTTTTATTTTGAATATAGTTGAAGTAAAGAATATGTGAAGCAAAGACTTCTTTGTTTGTGCTTTGATTTACCGTAATTTCTGGACTACAGAGCACATCCAAATATAAGCCAAGCCCTCTAAATTAAATAATTAATTAAATAAAAATCTATAAATTAGCTGCAGCATTGTATAAGCGAGTTCAAAGCCTGTAAAAAAAAAGTAGTTGCTTATAATCCAGAAATTACAGTATATTATTTTGTAATTTTATAAGGAGAAAACTTATTGGAATTTATCAAACTTGTCTGTTTGACACCTGGTTGGATTAATTTTTACAGCTCCGATTGGATGAAAAAGAAGTAAAATATAACTTTTATATTTTACACTGAAGTTACAAGATGACAAATCCTACTTTTCTGCACGACTGCTACCTTAGACCATCCCCGCTAACAATTAGTTTTCCTCAAACAACGATATCAAGCCAGTGCACCTGCATGGAGCTGATCATGGTGCTGAGGGCAAACACAGTGGCTGAATCCCTCAATGTGGACTGGCTGTCAAACGTCCCCTGAGTGTCCATCAGCAACACGGCGACCTGCGTAGCGAGACAGATGGACTGTGGTCGAAAACATCCTGAAAGGGCTCAAGCTTTGCTGTAAGGTGTCCGTCTCACCTTCCTGCCATCTGGTTTGTCCACCAGAAACACTTCGCTCCAGATCTGGATTCCTGTGGTCTCCCTCTCCGAGCCTCCCCTCCAGGAGAAGCCGGTCAGAGGCTCGTTTGCATCTCCGAGCCAGTCTTCAGACGCCTGAGCACAAAAACGCCCTTTAAACTGTGAACAAACTAAATGTGCGTGTGAACGGCGTGCAGAGAAGCTGCTGCTGCTGAAAAAACAAACATTAACTTCACCTGCTGACAACGGTAAGGTTTTTACCTGCTTGCATGTGTATGTTTGTCTGTAGTGTTAGCAAAATATCTCAAACCAGTGGATAGATATTATTAAAACTCTTAGAAAGAACATTTGGTGTCAATCCAATTCAAGATGGCCACCACAACTAGGCAACCTTAGCCATAACAATAGTAGCTACAATGCTACAAATTTTACAAATACAAGCCAAAAGTTTGGAGTCTTTGTGGTTGAAAGTCATCAAAAACACCAAGAGCCCATTGAGCAAGACGTGTTTTAGACCTTTGCACTTAACTACTGGCGTCAGGTCCGTCTGTTAGCAAAATATCTCATGAACTACAAAATTAATTTTAAGAAAACTTTTAAAAAATGGTGTAGTTTGTGTGATGTTTTTGCTTAAAGTTTGCCATTAACTGTCTGCAGATTAAAGTTTGGTGTGGTTCTGGCTGAGAGACATCCTCAACACGTGCACATAGCGTGCACAGAATTCTGTTAGCAAGGTCTGACTTTATTTACGCCTGACTCACTGTGACAACAGGCTTACTGCCTCGCAACATTTATCAACAGTTATCAAACTACAAACCACTGAAACTCACCTAAAAACAGCAGAAATGGCTCCTGACAGTTTCCTGAACTCAAAGAATTTAAAAACGTCTTCTCATGAATTTGAACAGCTATGGCTTAAATCTCATGTGACAGAACAAATAACACACCTCAGAAATTAAACTGCATCATTTTATCCACCTTCAGGGGCAATGGTAGGGGGTGGCCAATGGTGGTCTTGGCCCCTCCATAGATTAATCATTGGCCACCCCAATACTTTAAATGGACTGTACTTATACATCACCTTTCTATCTAATCAAGTTACTCAAAGCTCAACACAATTTAAGGAAACTATACTTCAGCAATATACTGTAAAAACTAGAAAGCATAGTTTCCTCAAATGAGGTGGTTGTGACGTTCGCTTCTCAGGTGAGCAGTCAGATGATAGAAGAGGAGCGGTGTCAGCTATGTGGAGGTAGCTTTATTTAAGTTTAATTGACTGTCCTGATCCACCCTCCTCACCTGTTGGTGGTGGTAATCCACCATATTGTTACCCACCAACAAGAAGAACCAGGAGAAGAAGAAACAGCTGGGTGGAGGTATTTCATAGTGAACAATGGTGACAGAAATGGACTGTAAATTATCTTCTGCAACACTGTCGGCACAAGGGGTTTGATACAACGACTACAAAATGTCAGTTCAAAGAGTTTGATCAAAGTTGCAGAGGAGCATTCTGGGAACAGACAGGCGTGAGCACCTGAGAGTCTCAAGGCTCACCTGTGGACACCTTTAGAAAACACTTCAGCTGAAGGTAACATCAAGAGTGCCAATATGACACATTGTACGCCCGTCAACAAACTATTATACAGCAATCTGTAGCGATGGCCCGGACAATCAAAGACCGTGTATAAACTTTGACCTTGATTTGTGACCTTGAGCCTGGAGCTGGAGTAACAAAAGTGTACATGACAGTCCGACTAGTGATGATGCAGATGTGTATGAAGTTTTGTTAAATTATCTTGAGTGGATCAGAAGTTATGAGCGGGACAAGAGAAAGTCTAAGGGCATACGGAGACTATACCAAAATACGTGTTGCCTCCGGCCGGTATATAAAAATAAACTCATCTGATTTTCAAACGCGTAACGGCATTTATTAGTACTAGTATCAGTACTCAGAGACAGCAAACAAAAGTACTTGTACTTGGCTTGAAAAAATCTCTCAGCAGAGGAGCGACTCACGTGGTTGTACATGTAGCGCAGCATGAAGTCCATCAGGAAGGACTTGCCCTTACGGAACGCCCCCGCCACCGAGATGGCCACCACTTCTCGGTCCCTGACCTTCTCCGACAGCAGGATCCGGCTCAGGGCGGCCTCGGACAGCTCAAAGGTGTGGTCGTCTTTGACCAGCAGCACCTGGACAGGCCTGGCTCGTCCGTCCGGCTCCTCGTCCTCCGAGCTCCAGTCGTAGACGTTTTTGTCACTGAGAGACCCTGAAGGACAGATTAGAGGAGGGAGTGAGGGGAGGTGTACGAGACGAAAAGTTGTGAAGTAGACATCCATATCAGTGATGATGAGCAAACTTAACGGTCCATTAGGTGAGGAAGAGGAAGATGGAGAGTGGATTCATTTTTACAGTTCTGTTAGCGCCACATCCTCGAGGCTCATCCCTCCTTAAAGGATCAGACTAGACTGGACTAAGATCGTCTTCTGATGCAGCTCAAGCAACGTTGGGAGACCTTGGATGGAACTCAGCACAACGCGCAGAGCACGTGTTGTGAACCATTCGTCCAGTTTTTTATGAAATATTTTGCTAACAGACAGCCATGGGCAGGAACAACAAACACAAGAAAGGACGAGCTGTAACAAGCAGTACCCCCATGTCCCGTCTCTGAGGGGTCTGAGCAGTGAATGTTTGTAGTTTTGGAGACGAGTGTTTTTCTGGACTGGAGCTGGACAGAGAACGTGGCCAGTTTACATGGTGATGGTGGCGGCCATCTTGGATGTTGACGTGGCAACACAGTTTTTTAAAGTGACCTTTCTTACTCCTAGACGCAGCCACACAGCAACATGGAAGTTGGTACCTCACTAGTTTTTCATGTTGTCATGCTCACAACGTGCACGACGCACAGACGGATGGATTGTATATCTAAACACAGATCTCACACAACATGTCCGAGCTTGCGGTGTGTTTCGTGAATGACTCTGAATCTGTCAAACTGACTGAGTTACTGCCATGTCTGTGTTGTTAGCTGCGGCAGCCATCTTGAATCAAGTTGACTCCCAAAGGTTGTAGACGATATCCAGAGATTATTTTCTGAGATCCGTCGTCTCTACCCACTTCTTTTCTGGGTCACTGGTGCCCATGTCCAGCAGTCACTGTGTGAGAGGCAGGGGACACCTGGACAGGTCTCCAGTCCATCACAGGGACACCTGGACAG